ATCGATCACTTGTGTGTAAGAGGATTGCGTATCGTCAACATGATTGCTCCGTTTGCTGCTCTGGGCACCTTTTGGAGGGCTGGGAGATGAATCCGCGGGGTCCTGAGAGACTTGCGCACCTGAAGAGCTTTTGAGATTTTCAGGAAGAGCTGAAAGCACTGATTGATCTGGGGTTTTGCCACTCGTTTGATCTGTTGTGGTACTGCTTAGATTCACCGAGCTTGGCCCCGAGGTTGATGGAGCCTTCGGTGAGCTGCGAATTTTAATCTCAACCGAGTAGATTTTGTCGGGTAAATGCTTCACCAGAGATCGAAAGTACTTGGAGGAGCTCTCCGAAATGAAGGGAATCAGCGAACGCATCTTGTTTTCAGGCAATATTTACGTAATGATGATGCTTCATTCAAAAAGGCAAACGCAGTCACAACTTAGTAGAATAAGGTAGGTAATAAACGTGAGAGAAAACCTAAACAAACATATAATGTAGAGAACGATGATGAATGAAAACAAAGTGGAGAGTAGTGGTGTTTGNTAGAATAAGGTAGGTAATAAACGTGAGAGAAAACCTAAACAAACATATAATGTAGAGAACGATGATGAATGAAAACAAAGTGGAGAGTAGTGGTGTTTGGAGCGCAATGTTTTCATGCGCGAGTAATAACGGGAAAAGTGCGCGTTCCTTTTCGGGTAACGGTCGTGTGTGGAGTGAGCCGTTCAGCGGCCGTTGCTCGCCCACAACAGCTCTGATTTACTGCTACTGCTGCTGCCACTTAGATCATCATGACTCAGATTGGGCTTGGGAATGCCTGGCGATGTGTTACCACCACCACCAGCAGACACATCATCTGACGACGACGATGAGGATTCCAAGGTCCCGAGCACTGGAGAAGTGAAGAAGAAAGGGAGTCACAAGAAAACGAGAGTGACGAAGAGAGGAGAAAGGGAGAGAGGCAGGCAAGCAAAACAAACGAAGCAGCGGCAGCTTCAGCTGCAGCAGCAGCAGCGATCACCTGACTCCAGCAGTGATCCTGACGTCACTCCGAGTGGCGCGAGAAAAGCCTCAGCCTCTGAGAGAAGCAGGAAGCGTTGCAGCCTTGTGACTGACTGGCCTCCGTAAGCGTAACTCACCATTGTGATGCTCCCTCTGCATAGCTCTGCAACTGCATTAATCTGGTTTGCACCATCACCATCATGATAGTGCCGCAGACGGAAGAGCAAGTTTTATTTTGGCAACAATTTGCAAGCGGCAGTGAAAAGTGGGTAAAGTTGTAGTGTGCTGGAAATGCTGAAAAGAGCTGAGCCGCCGCCGCTCTACAGCTCCATCTCGATGCCCATGCCGATCTTGTGAGCGCCCGCCTTGATGTTCTTGCCCTCGAGGTGGCCGCAGAGGCTGATGCTGATGCCGCTGCCGAAGTTCTTGGAGACGGCCGCCGATATCTGCCCGCGGGTGTTGATCTTCATCTGCAGGCGGTGGCTGCCGTCCAGTGCCCAGTTGAGCGCGTACTGGAAAGTGGTCTCCTTGGCCTTCCCGTAGGGGAACTTCACCAGAATGCCCGTCTCCAGGGTGCTGCTCACCTTCTGGTAGAGCGAGCCCATCAGCTCGTTCCTCTGGTTGAGCAGCCCAAAGGCGGAGTAGTTGCCCGTCTCGTAGCCGGCGGTGAACTGCGGCTGGTCCACCTTTCGGCTGTTCGGGTCCACGTAGCAGTGCATGCCCGCCAGCCACCCGTCAGAACTAATCGAAGAGAATGTGTTTTGCATCGAAAGAAGCGTTTTGAGCCGAGCTCTACTTACGTGAAGACAAAAGACGGACTGAGCATGGGCTTGCCGTCGCCGGTCAACGAGGCCTCTACGACGCCCAGCATGAACTCGTTCTTGTACTCCGCCTGCACGCCGCCCGCCATGTTGCCGCCCTTCGGGTCGAACTTGCCCAGCAGGCCCAGTCGACTGCCCGGAAAGAGCTTGTCGTTGATGGTCACCTCCGTGGAGATGGTGTTGTCGGAGAACCACTTGCTGGACATGTTCATGTTCGTCCCCGGAAAGGCGTTCTTGAACTCGCCGCTGCCCATCACCTTGCCGCTCTCGATTTCATTGAAGGCCTCGATGATGAAGCCGGAGCCAGCTTGGCTTTGCGACTTTAGATTGAACTTCACTGCACCGAGAGCTAAAGAGAAGCAAAAGAGGCGTTTAGAAGGCGTTCAGCTGTAGCAGCAGTGCACTTACTGAAATTCTTGACAAACAAGTCCTGGGATCGCTTTCCAATGTCCTGGTACTTGCAAGGTTTGGCAGTCATTTTGGAGAAGTTGCACTGGTGAGAAAAGTGTTGACACTGATATCTGATCACTGATTCACCAATAAATGTGCCCTTTGCTGATGAATGTGCATTATTTTGAAGCAACGACCAGACTTTCTTGGCGGTAACTAATTCGAATATTTAAATGGAACTTTTCATTCGGTTGGTTTTTTGAAACTCATTTTACCGCCAAGAAAAAAAGTTTTTTGGCCGAGGCCACTCGCAGACGACGTGATCGTGTAAGCGTGCTTTTCGCCGATCAAGTAAACACAACTGTTGTTTTTGTTTTCTGACTTTTCAGTTTCTTCTTTTTGTGACCAGTTACCGTCTTTGGATCGGCACACCAGAAAAACTACCGTCAGAAATGACGACGGACGGCGACGATGAACGCCAGTGGCGGACGAAGCTCTCCGAGACGGCGAACACTCTGATGGACCGAAAGTTGATACTTGATGCACTGGATAAATGTCTCCGCGCGAAGCAAGAACGGCATACCGATCTCGCCTCGGCGGTGGCCCTCGTTGGAACATGTCCCGACATGTGTCCCGAACAGGAGCGCTACTTTCGCATTGAAACAAACTGCGTGTCACCCTTTGAAAACGACGAACATGGCCGGCCGGATCAGACGCGAATGGTGAAAGAGTACCGGCGTTCAGGGGCCGATCAGAAGGAGCCACTGCCACATGAGCTGCGACCCATCAGCGTCCTTCAACGAAGCATGACCTACCTCTGTCTGGAGATTGTCGACGCCGATTACCTGCCCAGTGGTGCCAACCTGGGCGAGTGGTTCGACTTCATCTGGAGCCGGACGCGGTCCATTCGGAAGGACATCACCCAGCAGCACCTGATCAGCCTCGACTCGGTGAATCTCATTGAAAAGTGCGCCCGCTTTCACATCTACTGTGCCTACTACCTCTGCGAGGAGGAGCTGAAAAACTTTGATCCAAAAATCAACGATGAAAATCTACGCAACTGCCTGCAGACGCTAAAGGAGTTCTACTTTGAGCTTGGCACCCGCTCAATCTACTGTCCGAATGAGGCCGAGTTTCGCTCTTACGACGTCGTGCTCAATCTTCAAAACGGCGAAACGCTGAGCGAGATGAAGCACTACCGCAAGGAGATTCGCCACTCTCCTGATGTCCGCTTTGCCGTCAAAATATACCAGGCATTTCAAAGTAAAAATCCCATCAAGTTCTTTCAACTGGCAAGAAAAGCCAACTTTTTCATGTCCTGCATTCTCAACATCTACTTTACGCCGTTTCGAATCGACATACTGAATGTGGTCCGTCGGNAAGTAAAAATCCCATCAAGTTCTTTCAACTGGCAAGAAAAGCCAACTTTTTCATGTCCTGCATTCTCAACATATACTTTACGCCGTTTCGAATCGACATACTAAATGTGGTCCGTCGGGCGTACACAGTTCCAAAGTCGAGTAGTGTGGTGGCCTTCCCCCTCGACAGAATCATGCACCTTCTCGCCTTTGATGAGCTCAATGAGATGACCAAGTTCTGTGACTTGGTTGATCTTGAATATGATGAGGTAAATGAACTTGTCAACATTCAGCGCAGCGTTGCAATCACTGCTTCCACCAACACCATAAAACGCTCAATTCATCTGGTGCAAGTAAAGCTCTCAACATCACCTGGAAGGGCAATTTTAAGTGATAACAGTCAGCTGCAAATCCTGCCCATTCACTCGAGCTTCGATGCCAACAATCGCCTAGTTTATGATCTCAGCACAAACAAGCCAGAAAATCAACTGTTTAGCAGTGAAACATTTAACCAAGCATTTCAGCAAACAACGCCTTTCAATGGCAGACTTGAGCCGCTCGCGAAAAAGTCACCAGTTCAGATTTTCAGTGAACAACAGCCTGCTCTGAGCGACGACAGTGAGCAGTTCTTTGCCGATGCCGATGATGTAGAGGCCTGGATGCTGGACTTTCGTCGCCTGGTCAGCAGCAATGACGTTGGCGTGGATGAAGCGACCACCCAGTCGTTGATTATGAAGCACAACAACTCCTGCGGGGAGCTGAAGAACTACTACAACATAATTGAAGGGCTGAAACAGCAGGCGGACACTCTGTGGAGCAACTTTCGCCGTCCGCCGGAGGTTGTCGAGCGCATTTCCCGCATCGGCAACATGTACAACCAGCTGATTGATGCGGCTAACAGTCGCAAACAGGCGCTGCAGAACACCTTTGTGCAGTACCGTCTGGGCAGAGTGGCGGACAGTGTCGATCAGTGGGTGGAGGAGAAGGAGAGACTGCTCTCCTCGATGACAGTGGGCCGAGATCTGGAGGAGATTGCGGCGATGAAGGATCGTTTTGATGCATTTGAAGAGGAACTGAGCTCCATTGAGCCGAAAATCAAGTTTGTCAATGACTTTGCAAATAAACTGCAGAACTTTCAACGAGTGGTCAGCAGAAAGAATGATGTCAATGAAAAGTAAGTGCTCCTGTGGTTTGATGCCTTTACTTGCTAATTTTTGGTTTTATTACCAGATGGGACAAACTGAAAGCCCGAGCCGAACAAAAGAAGGCGGAAATCAATGCCGCCTATGAAGTGCAGACGTTCCACGATGAGTGCCTAGAGACGGTTTCGCAGATTGAGGAGAAGACTCGCCTGTTGCAGTCCACTGATGAAGCTGATAATGACCACCTCCCTGCCAGAGAACGTGATTTGTCAGCCATCTCCTCACAGGTTGATAGTCTACAAAGAAAGGCTCAAGTAATACAAAACAGGCATCCCCGAGCAGCAAGGGTGGTTGGTGATCGCGTCACTCAGATGAGCACTGCCTTTAACCAGCTCGATGGGCTCATCAAGGCGCTCGTCGCCAAGCTCGGCGGGGATTTGCAGCGATTCCTTCGCGACCTGGAGCACCTTCAGACGTGGCTGAAGAGCACAATGACTGCCGTCGCTTCAGAGGACACGCCAAAGAGTTTGGCAGAGGCAGAGAAGCTTCTGAGCCAGCACCAGCGGATCAAGGAGGAGATTGACAATTTCACTGCGGAATTCAACAGCCTCATGGAGTATGGTGAAAAGCTGACACAGGACAAGACTGACCCGAAACACATATTCCTCTTTGAACGGCTGAAGGCGCTTCGCGACGGATGGAGTAGGCTGCATAAGATGTGGGCGAATCGCCGGCAGTTGCTCTCGAAGAACCTCGATCTACAGCGGTTTCTGCGTGACGCCAAACAGGTGGAACTGTTGCTCAATCAGCAGGAGATTTACCTGGAGAAGGACGAGGTGCCGGCGAACCTCGAACAGGCGGAAAGTGCCATCAGGCGTCATGAGGAGTTTATGGAGAAGCTGATTGCAAGCGAAGATGCGGTCATTGCTGTGCTGCAGTTTGCTGACCGTTTGAAGAGTGACAATCACTTTCACGCGGAGAAGATTGCAGAGAAGGCCGACTACATTCAGGAATGGTACGAGTTCAACATGGAAATGGNTCGAAGAACCTCGATCTACAGCGGTTTCTGCGTGACGCCAAACAGGTGGAACTGTTGCTCAATCAGCAGGAGATTTACCTGGAGAAGGACGAGGTGCCGGCGAACCTCGAACAGGCGGAAAGTGCCATCAGGCGTCATGAGGAGTTTATGGAGAAGCTGATTGCAAGCGAAGATGCGGTCATTGCTGTGCTGCAGTTTGCTGACCGTTTGAAGAGTGACAATCACTTTCACGCGGAGAAGATTGCAGAGAAGGCCGACTACATTCAGGAATGGTACGAGTTCAACATGGAAATGGCCAAACAGTACTGGAGCAAGCTGCAGGATCAGTACAAGTTGCAGCAGTTCCTCACAAACTGTGATGAGCTGAACGAATGGATTCAGGCAAAGTACGGCTCCGTTCTCGATGAGACGTACAGTGCCGGCGCAAAAACGGTGCACAGCAGGTGGATTCGCCACCTGGCCTTTGGGGCTGAGGTGGCCACCACCAAGGACTGCCTGCACCAGATTGCGCAGAAGGGCAAAGAGCTGGCGGCGGAGAAGCCGGAAATGGAGCCCCTGGTCGACGCTAGACTGGCCGAACTGGAGGAGCAGCTGGAGGAGCTGCAGAGGGTGACCAGGGAGAGAGGCCAGCGGCTGCAGCTGCAGGTGCTCGCCAACCAGGACCTGGAGGCGCTCAAGCGGACGCAGTACCTCAAGGAGAAGTACTTCCGACTGTGGCTGCAGAAGGTGCGCTCTAGTCGGCGGCACTTTATTCGCGCCCAGTTTCCTGCTGCTCCAGTGGCGGCCTTTAGGCGGTCAACCTCTCCGGGGGCGAGCAGCAGCAATCGCTCTACCTCATCCAGTGCTTCATTCACCTCCGCTTCCAGCAGTACTTTCCCCTTTCGCCAGCAGTTCACCAACGGCTCCCCAGCCTGCTTCACCGTCATTGATCCTCAAATTCGCACCGCCACCGCTTCCATACGGCAGAGTCTGCTGAAGAAGCTCAACTGTGATTACGCGACGACGGTGAAGCTGGCGAAGCGAAAGCTGGCCGAGCGGGAGGAGCAGCGCTGTGGGGGCAGCAGCAATGGCGGACCATCACTGGATGATGATCCCTTTCGGGAGGTGCACACCTTTCATCCGGACAGTGCCCACCTGGAGCCCATCAAGAAGCGCTACATAACTTCGGCTTCTGCTTCAGTCTTTTCGACTTCACCTCCTCCTCCACCTCCTACTCATGCACTGTAAAAAAGTGTGTGTGTTCCCCCTTTTTCGTATTAAACTCCAAATGTTTGCACTTACTGCCAATCTCCTTATATATTTATCTCCCCTCTCCTCCTTTCCCCTTTTCTCACACACACACAACGGCAATCACAGTGACGATTTGAATCGATAAATTCACCAATTGGCCCTAATTGCGGCAGCGGCGGCTGCTGCAGCAGAAGCAGGCGAGGTGAAAGGGCTTCTTCAGAGTGAAGTCACTTCACTCTTGAACACTCACTGTGCACAGTGCTCATTGAACACTCACTGATCAGCACCGATTGCCGTGTGATCATCGGAGTGAGTGAGTGTTCGCGTTCACTCTCGGTTTGTATGTGTGTGCGTCTTCCCAACCTGGTGAAATATAAATAACCAGCCAACGAGCCTTTCTTCTTCGGATGCACCTCGATCACCTGCACAGTCTTGTAGGTGAAGAGGAGCAATTGGAGCCAAGTGGAGCCCCCTCCAGTGGTGGTGGTGGTGGCTCCTCAAGAACAATTAGACACGGACGGTGGGCGCTGCCGTTTTCTGTGTGTGTTTGCTAATGGTGTCACCGGTGAAAGGTAGCGAAAATGGTGAACTTGACTGTCAGGTGCTACTGCTGCTGCTGCAACTCACTTCAGCCGTTGAAGTGAGCACTGCCGATCAAATTGTTGCTGATGATTGCTGCGGCACTTACTGTCAAATTGAACCGATGACTTTGTTGTGCTGTCGTACAGAGACTTGTTTCTTATTTCAGCTTATCGTTTGGAAGAGTTGCTGATAAGTCGCAGCTCTGCTAATCTTTCCCCTTTCTTCTAGCCAAATTAACCTGCTGACCTATTGTCCCGTGCAGAGATAAGCTGTCAAGCCGTAATTTCTCATTCTGACCACTGAACACAAATGTCTATTTCTGGTTGATTTGGTGCTAACGATGTTGATGCTCAGTAGTTTCCCTTTTCCTGTTGGGGCAAAGTTGGGTCGCTGTTTGGGTATCAGATTTGTTGTGTCGATTTGAAGCAGCCTCCAATGCAAGGCAATACGCAGTGGTGAGCTTAACTGCCTGTAAGTTTGGAAGGCACTCATTTCCCCCCGGTGTCTGGTTTCTCTCCTCTCCTCTAAGCTCGCTACTGTTGCTGTCCGGTGTTTTCCTTTGCCCGAGCCCAACAATCCCGTCTTTGACGTCGTCGTTTCACTGTTGCCATCTCCTTTCTTTCTTTCTTTCCTTCTCTCTTCCTCTTTGAGTCCTCTTCTTCCCCAGCAGCCACTTCTTCTCACTCGAAAGGACAACCAGTGAGTGAGTGAGCCCCACCACTACCAAGCTGACTGTCCGTCTAGCAGCCTGTCTACTTTTACTTTCGACTGCTGTTCGATGGTGTGTGTGATGGACAACAGCAGCAGCAGCAAATGACGCCTGCAGACAGACAGACAGACTGTGAGAGTGCTCCAGACCAGTCCAGTCAAAGATCACCGGGTGAAGGAGAGAGAGAGAAAAAGAGAAATGGTGAACAGCCAGAGCTGTAAGGTGCAGGAACACACACACACACACACTCACACACACTCTGCAATCAGAAGTCTGTGTTCAGGCCCCACTTTACTTTACCACCACCACCACTACCACTGTTTGTGTGTACGCTTGTATCTGTCCATCAGTCCTTCCATCTATCTATCCATCCATCCATCTATCAATCTACCTGCTTGCATGTGTCTCATTTTGTGGTAGCAGCAGCAGCAGCAGCCTTCTTCTCGGTCTCCGTCTTCTTCTTCTTCTTCTTCTTCCTTTCCTCCTTGTTCGTTCTTCCTAGCTGATTTCGTCGTCTGTTTTTCTTCTCTCTGATCTCTGTCTCACCGCCTCGTGGACACCTTCATCATCGTGGTGGTGGTGGTCACCGTCAGCCAGTGATCCAGCCAGTCAGTCAGTCACTGTTGTGCACTGCAATTTAACCGCAGCGACAGGTCACTTACTAACTCCGACGTCTGCATTTGGAAATGCATGCAACCAACTTCTGATGTTGGTGGTGGAACAAGTCAAACAGTGATCCACTTTGATATTTGCATTTTCACATCAACAGCTGCCTGCTTGCCTGCTCTGTCCTCAGTAATGGGCACCACCAACATCTGAGCGAGAGCTTTGGCCGAGTGCTGAAACTCGGGTTTCACCAGTCATAAGAGTTATTTCTCACTCCGGAAAGTGGCAAAACTCTACTTTAATTCTCCTTCATCTATTTATTTGTTCTTGTGTATGCCATTGCCGTTGTTTTCCACCACTTTGATGCTAAATGCCTAGCACCAGAGCTAGCGTCCTCTCTGAATCCTTCTCGCCTCCATCACCACCCCTACTTCCCTCATCCTCACCACCTTCATCACGCCTTTCACCTTCATCTCTCCATCCTTTCCCACCGGTTCTTCAGCAGTCTATGCACCAAACAGCCGTCAAAAGTCCCCTACTGAGCACTACTGCTAAGCATGCACTCCTTTCACCACCACAAAACCAAAGTGGAGCACTGCCTGTCATCGGAAGATGGTGATGTTCCCCACCTGGCGATCAAGTCCACACATCGCCGTCGACGACAGCGTCGTCGTTCGTTTGAGGCGTCGTCAATGGCCGCCAGTGGTAGTGGTGGCACCCTCCTCTGGCTGTGTCTGCTCCTCCTGCTGGGCATCCTCATGCAGGACGTGTCCGCCCACCTGGGCCGCATCTACAAGTCGGCTCGGGCGCTAGAGCAGTCAGGTCGCAGTGAAGGACGCAAGTTTCCCATTCTGAGGGCGCTGGTGTCGCAGTTCATCTCCGATCGCAGTGCTCGTGACATGTCGCCTGTTTCGGTGGTCAGTGCCGCTGCTGCTGCTAAGACAGCTGGTGCTGGTAGTGGCAAGGCTGCCACCACCTCTGTCCACTCCTCCACATCACTGTCAGCGACGAGCAGGGAAACGGCATCTTCTCTGGTAGATGATGATCCGCTGTCATTTGCCCCGGCTGCCTCCACCAACAAGGCCCGTCATGCCGAGTTGAACAAGTCCTCCATTTCAGCCTCTTCCTCCTCCTCTCTGAGTGCCTCGTCCAGCAGCGGCAACGGCAGCAGTGGCAAAGCAGGCAGCACCTCCAACGTCAAGACCATTCAGCACATAATCGAAGATATCAATTCTCAAAATAGCAAGATATCTACGAAGCGTCGCAAGCACTTTCTCGTGAACATACTGTCGCGAATGCTGAAATCAGTCAACTTTACCGAGGTAAGTGGATACGCTGTCTATTTGTCAGGATAACACGCCGTTTCTCTCACGCCGTTTCACTCTGTTTGACTTTGGGGAGTAGTAAGCTGAAGCCCTTTTCCTCTCATCAACAGCACTAAACACGAGCTCATTAAGGAGGCATGTCAACTAACTGCTGACAAGGGGTTACCTTAACAGTAACTGAAAGTTCTTTTTGCCTTTCTTAAATTGTGATGCTTGACACCTGATGTCAAACACACACGTCACTCTCGCTCTTCTTTCTCTTCTTACTTACCTGTCAATCACTTTGCTACGATTGAATCGCAATTCTTTAACGTTGTCCACTCACAGACACAATCCGGGGCTGAAAGCAGCTTCCACTGCTGTACAATCTGCTGTGAAGAGCTCGGGAGCAGTGTTCATCAGACAGCTCTTTCACTCGCTCTCTCATGCTCTCTCTCTCTCTCTCTCAATCTATTTACGTTATTACCGCAGCTGTTAATGCACTACTTCTGTTGCTGTCAGTCAGTCAGTCGGTCAAATATAGCCAAAGGAGGAAAGTGCTGCTGTGCTGCGGTAATTGGGCTTGCGTCGGTCGAAGCCACCACAACAGCACGGACACGGGTCACCTGTGAGCGTGTGTGTGCCAGTGCAATCATCATCATCATCATAATCGTCGCCCTCTTCATCGACATCGACATTTGCCGTTGTCGCTAATCAGCCTAAACCTTTCGTTTAGTCAGCTGCGACGATTAGCCTATTCCTTTTCATAGCTGTAGCTTCATTCTTCAGAATTACCTGAATTGATAGTTGGCTAGTTTAAGTTACTCTGCCTTTATCCTTTTCTTTTTTCTCNGTTTAGTCAGCTGCGACGATTAGCCTATTCCTTTTCATAGCTGTAGCTTCATTCTTCAGAATTACCTGAATTGATAGTTGGCTAGTTTAAGTTACTCTGCTTTTATCCTTTTCTTTTTTCTCTCTTTCTTTACTTCATCAGCCATCAGCGTTTGTCATTACCTCGAGTCCGAGGCTAGAGGCAAAAATCGGCGTAAAGTTGCCATCGAAAACGGCGAAAGAGGCGCCTGCAACGAGGAAGTGTGTGTGTCCGTGTTGTGGTGATGGTGCTGATGGTAGCTACTGGCCATTCTTGACTGATCAATGGCTGCTGCTGCCGCTGCTGATTGAGCCAACTGCCCAGGTGAAAGTGTTTGTGTCTGCCTAGTGTCTACTCTCCACTCTGTGTCTCTAGTGTGCCCCCTTTTTTCACCAATGGCTGGCTGCCATTTAAATGCATCCATTTATTAATAGAATGGAACGGACGCCATTAGGAGGCAGTACATCGCAGTGTACGAGCGCAGCAGCGGCATCAGCACTAGCGTAAGCTAACACGAGCTACCGGCTGACGCACTACTTATTTTCATATGTCTATCATTTTGACTGTGCATTCAATCATTGATGCAAATTAGCAGTTTCTGCTGATGTAGGAAAAAAGAAGGGCTGAGAAAGTATTTTATGTTTCGCTTTCATTAAAAAAATTGAAAAACAAAGCATTTTCCTTTTGTCTTTCACCTTTCTGAACCTGACAGTGTCTGCTTTCCACCGGAATGATACAAATAAAAACTTTAAATAAAAGTGCTCTTTGTCCTTGTCTCTTTTTCTCTCTACTCTACTCATTTGAGAAAAAGAAATAAAACAGGAACTAGCTATTATGTTATTATTATTAGCTCAATTTGTCAGTCGTATTAGCTCACCTGCTGTTGCTGCTATTAGTTTGCACTTGAATGGAACGACGAGCGCCCCAAAGAGTTCAACAGGCAGCGGCAACGATTAATTACCGCCTGCTCTTGCCTAATTGAACAATCCAATCGGTGTGCAGTGTGTACGTCAAAACGACTCAGCTCGGCTCAGTTGAAAAAGGTGGCTTCTATTGTCATGCCTGTGCTGCCTTAATTACAGTGCACACTATTTGACTAATGGGACTAATTTTTCTTCTTCTTTTTCTCCTCCTTTCCCCTTTCTGGCCAAAACCACCACCACTACCATCATCACCTTNTTCTTTCTTTACTTCATCAGCCATCAGCGTTTGTCATTACCTCGAGTCCGAGGCTAGAGGCAAAAATCGGCGTAAAGTTGCCATCGAAAACGGCGAAAGAGGCGCCTGCAACGAGGAAGTGTGTGTGTCCGTGTTGTGGTGATGGTGCTGATGGTAGCTACTGGCCATTCTTGACTGATCAATGGCTGCTGCTGCCGCTGCTGATTGAGCCAACTGCCCAGGTGAAAGTGTTTGTGTCTGCCTAGTGTCTACTCTCCACTCTGTGTCTCTAGTGTGCCCCCTTTTTTCACCAATGGCTGGCTGCCATTTAAATGCATCCATTTATTAATAGAATGGAACGGACGCCATTAGGAGGCAGTACATCGCAGTGTACGAGCGCAGCAGCGGCATCAGCACTAGCGTAAGCTAACACGAGCTACCGGCTGACGCACTACTTATTTTCATATGTCTATCATTTTGACTGTGCATTCAATCATTGATGCAAATTAGCAGTTTCTGCTGATGTAGGAAAAAAGAAGGGCTGAGAAAGTATTTTATGTTTCGCTTTCATTAAAAAAATTGAAAAACAAAGCATTTTCCTTTTGTCTTTCACCTTTCTGAACCTGACAGTGTCTGCTTTCCACCGGAATGATACAAATAAAAACTTTAAATAAAAGTGCTCTTTGTCCTTGTCTCTTTTTCTCTCTACTCTACTCATTTGAGAAAAAGAAATAAAACAGGAACTAGCTATTATGTTATTATTATTAGCTCAATTTGTCAGTCGTATTAGCTCACCTGCTGTTGCTGCTATTAGTTTGCACTTGAATGGAACGACGAGCGCCCCAAAGAGTTCAACAGGCAGCGGCAACGATTAATTACCGCCTGCTCTTGCCTAATTGAACAATCCAATCGGTGTGCAGTGTGTACGTCAAAACGACTCAGCTCGGCTCAGTTGAAAAAGGTGGCTTCTATTGTCATGCCTGTGCTGCCTTAATTACAGTGCACACTATTTGACTAATGGGACTAATTTTTCTTCTTCTTTTTCTCCTCTTTTCCCCTTTCTGGCCAAAACCACCACCACCACCATCATCACCTCCGTCACCTCTATTATCCCCAAAAACTCAGCTTAGCGATCAGATGCGCAACGGCATATCCTCCCGAGCCTCCTGCTGGGCGTGCAATGCACTGGCTGGTCTCTTCCTCAGTCCAGTCTACTCCAAGGAGATGATGACCATGGCGGTGAACACGGTGTGCACTTCCTTTCGGCTGCNTGCACACTATTTGACTAATGGGACTAATTTTTCTTCTTCTTTTTCTCCTCTTTTCCCCTTTCTGGCCAAAACCACCACCACTACCATCATCACCTCTGTCACCTCTATTATCCCCAAAAACTCAGCTTAGCGATCAGATGCGCAACGGCATATCCTCCCGAGCCTCCTGCTGGGCGTGCAATGCACTGGCTGGTCTCTTCCTCAGTCCAGTCTACTCCAAGGAGATGATGACCATGGCGGTGAACACGGTGTGCACTTCCTTTCGGCTGCAGTCACCACGTGTTTGCTCGGGCATCGTCGACTCTTTCAAGGTAAGTGTCTCTGTGCTGTCTGTGTGTTGTGCAGGTCGCATTGTTCAGTGTTCACTACTTCCTACTTGTTGCTTACCTACTTTGCACGGTCTTCTGGTGCTACACCTGCTAATTAGACGTTGTAGTGTTGTTATTTTTGCTGATTACCACTCTGCTGGCGATCCGTTCTGCTAGCCAGCTGGCGGTAATGAACACTGCTGAGGCGCAACTGCGACAACATCGACGACCTCGATTCGTGTCTGCCATTGTCTCAGTGCTGTCCGCACTGACTCATCGACTGACTTACTGACTTACTTACTGTGTTGGCACTACTACCACCATCAGCACCACCACCACTTCTTCCTGTGCCATTATCTTCGCCAGCCACCCCAGTCGACTTTCACTTTCACCTTCGATGCTCTCTCTCTCTCTCTCATTCACACCTCTCCTTCACTTTCACTTTCTGCGCCGTCCGATGAAATGTCTTGGCAAAATCGATTAGTCTTACTGAAGAATTGTTGTCGTTACTGTCAACCATTGTTTGCTGCAAACCGACAAAACAGACAAGAGAGTGCCAAAGTTGACAGTGCCTTTTGCCATATCGCAAAACCTGCTGCTGTTGTTTGGCAGACACATCGGTGGTGTAATTAGGACACAGTGAATCACTTGGTGACAATCAGACCGGGCAGAAGGATGTGCTGGCGACAGTCCAAAGGATGCAGTCACTGGAAAGAAAACGAAAACAAAGCTTAACAAAAACATCATCATCATCACACAATTAGTGCCGGCGGCATTTCGGCGTGGTGGTCGTCGGCGACTCGTCGCACGTCACCAGCACGGACAGTAGTGTCGGTAATGATAGACAGTGGTGCGCAGTGGAAAAAAGAGCAAAAGTCCAAAAAGCCGTTCACCACCTCGCCTTAATTGACTAGCTACTGTTTTGATAGTATGCCGTGCTGCTTGCTTTTTAATTACGTCAACAACTAAGGCGCCAGTGTGTGATGTTTGTGTGTTTGCAGTCAAGCTAAGGTGATGGTGATGAACGAAGATGATTGTCACTTGAACATCAGCAGCATCAACAGCATCAGCAGCAGTCTGGCAGTCATCATCACCACCTGTCGTCAGTAGTGTTTGCCCGAGAGTGCTCAGATGGTGTGCGGGAAAGAGAAATAGCGACATCAAATAGCAATCACTTCCTGTAACTTTCACTTCAGAGCTGGCACTGTCCGGACAGCAGCACTAATCAGCTCGGGCAGTGGTCGTCAGTCACCGACAGGCATCATTAGTGGCCATCAATCGAAAGCAGTGAAGGCAGTCAGAGAGTGAGCAAGGGAGAAAGAGAGAGCGCTTCGCTTGCTAGAGTAGCAAGTGCAAGCTTCGAACAGCTCTATCTTTATCTGATGGCTATATTTATTTATTGAACGAGAAAGAAAGAAAGAAAGAAAAGGTTCATGTCACCAGTAATAGACTAATCAAGTTAGCCCTAACTTGATTGTCACCAGCACCTCTCCAGGCATCGGTTTCTGTTTAGTTTTTTCATCTTTTCATCACCACGACGGACCAAAACAGCAGATCTCTCTGTCAATCATCACTTTCGATGCTATCATTTTGCTCACTCACTTTCCTTCCCCTAATCGTCGTCTTCTCACCTTCTCCGTCTTTTCCCCTTCCTTCCTCCCCTTCTCCCAGGACGATCTTGATTACATTCGCACTCACACCACGCTAAAGCACGGCGAAATGTGCGGCGTCATCTTCGGCATGGACTGTGCCCGCAAGGTTACGAAAAATCTCAACTGGACGATTGCCATTCCCGAGCGGAAGCAGAGCAACAATGTGAAACGATCGTCCTCATCGTCGCCGTCTGCTGCCGCCTCGGCCGGGGCAGCCTCGGCAGCAGGAGCAGGGGCAGACGACGCCGAGGCCGATCTGATGTCCGACATCGACTATCGCGACTCGTACAAGAGCCTGGCGAAGTTGGTGCAGATCACCGACATTCACGTCGACCCGTACTACGAGCCCGGCTCGGAGGCGAACTGCGGCGAGCCGCTCTGCTGTCGCTCGACAAACGGCCCCGCCAAGAGTCGGGACCGCGCTGCCGGGCCCTGGGGCGACTACCGAAACTGTGATACGCCCGTGCCAACGCTACGACACGTCCTCAAGCACATCAATGAAGTGCACTCTGATGTAAGTGGAGGGAGAGATGTGCCAAATGGCTCTGATTGATTAATTTTTTTGCTCGTACACCTAGGCGGAATACTGGATGTGGACCGGCGATGTANCTCAAGCACATCAATGAAGTGCACTCTGATGTAAGTGGAGGGAGAGATGTGCCAAATGGCTTTGATTGATTCATTTGCTTGTAATTTTCTAGGCGGAATATTGGATGTGGACCGGCGATGTGGCGCCGCACGACATCTGGAACGTGACCCGACGCGAAGTGATCTCCCAGATGAAGCTGGTCACCGGTCTCATCAAGCAGTACGCCCGAGTGCCCGTGTACCCGGTCATTGGCAACCACGAAGGAGTACCCGTCAACAGGTGAGACACAGTCGGTCATTAGTGAATGGTGGTGGTGGTGGTTAGTGATTGATCGACAATAGACAGCAGAGCATCTCTCCTTTTCCTGAGTGCTCCTCAAAGCTTCTTTCCGATGATCAGAGTTGTTGTGGTTGTGTTGAAGTACAGCAGCATCAGCAACAGCAGCAACATGCACTCTCGGCAATCACGTCGGCCAGTCCGCAAACCCGTTTGCACTGTTTTCCTTTTTCTTCCCCTTTAAAATCAGTGCAAGTCGTTGAAAAAAAGTTAAAGCGCCGTACAACCACCACCACCGTTTTATGCTAATGGGCAATTGATTTTTTGCCCTCTGCACTCTATCCTCTCCTCTCCTTTTTCCCAGTGTCGTACAAAAGTAGAAACCGTCAAGTTTATAAATATAAAAATAGTGATTAGTGGTGGTGGTGGTTGCGGTGGTGCATTTGCTTGCAACGGCTGCCTCAAGCGAGCGTGTCGAACACACTCTCTTGTGGCTGAAGTTAAAACACAGTGTTCCACACATGATCACTAAAGAAACACCTCACTTTCCACCCTGCACAGCTTTCCACCGCCCGAGATAAAGGGCGTCAACTCGGTCTCCTGGCTGTACGACACCGTCGCCGAGGAGTGGGCCTTCTGGCTGCCGGAAGACGCTCTGCAGACGCTCAGATAGTAAGTCCAACAATCGGTTCGATTTCAGCTGTACGTTCTCCTAACAAATTCCCTCTTCTTCTTTAAAATTTCAGCGGCGGCTACTACACCGTGAAACCCCGCGACAAGATGCGCATCATCTGCATCAACACCAACTACTGCGCCCGCCTCAACCCCTGGTCGCTCTTCA